AAATATTGAAGATGCCGAATAAATTAATTCTTAGTTAACTAATTAAAGTTATAGGTTAAATGCTGATTATTTAATAAACAAAGTTAAAATAGAAGCTATGAAATTAAAAATTATTTATTATAATAGAAAAAATCACAATCAAATCAGTGATCAGCGATGATGTCTTACTTTAGCAAAAGTCTTATAAATTTGAATAAAATAGATTCGGTTATACTAAATGAGACACTAACTGATTCTAGTTATCGGAAACTTTAGTAGAGTTATTACCAAACGATTTGTCATTATCAAGTTGATGATATTTCACTTAAGAGAAATCTCCTGGGTATTAACCAAGGGTGGATTAATCCATTTTTATTTTATAGTAAATTCACGTAGAAGATTTGAAGTAAAAATATCACAAATTTAATTTTAGAGGATGAAATCTATTCATATTCATATTGTTTTTCAATGTTTTTTCCTATATCTGGAACTGCAGTTTTTTTCATTTGGCAAGAACCTGCAGCTTGGAAACTTTTCTATTTTGTTATACTTTAAATATTTAAGTTTTTCGAACCCGTTTTTTTATATACGATAATAATTACTATTTTTCTATAATAATTATCTTGTAGTCTTAATTCTGAAATATGGTTGTTATTAGTACTAAATTTTAGCATCTCGACAAACATAAGGCAACAGCTTTTGACTATAAAGCCCAAAAGCTGAAACTTTATTTCAGTAATTAAGGGAAGGACAGATTTAAAAAAAAATCAGAAAGGTTGATACTTAGACAATAAATATATCTTAGACAAAATTAGAAGCGGGGAGGAAGGGGATGTTTTTGCTAGGTTGTCATTACGAATTAATAGTTCAGTCTGTGCAAGCGGTTGTTGCAACTACGATTGTAGAGATACGGATAGTGTCGTTCAGATAAAACGTCAGGAATTGAGGAAGTTTGTACCGCATATTGTTAAGCAGGTCGATGGGAAATTAAGGTGGGTGAATATTAAATTTTTCTATAAGGCTAGTTTAAATGCAACACAATGAGCTAATAGACCAATATTCGGTATTTTCTGTACCAGCAGATATACTAAAATCAAATTTTTCTTACTTTTAAAGTTCGGCTTACTGAAGGGTCTCCAAATTTGGGCTCGCACATTGTAAACTTTTCCATTGTTTTGAATATTTCAAAAGCTATTATTAAATTTTAAAATTATTTTCACTTTAAGAAAAACGCCGAATACTTTTTACACAAACTTCAAAGCCGCTGATAAAAAAAATTGCTATTTACTTCAAAAGGATCATGAGCACAATGTAAACGCTAATAATATTGAAGTAAAATAATATTTTATTTCAGTATAATAAATGGAGTATTTTTTTTTTGAAATAATTATTGTGCAAAAGACCGGAAATGGTCGCCATTCAGTCTAACGAAGTAGTAATGTTCGTAGTAAATTTGCCTAACACCAACAAAATCGCTGAGCTTAAATTAATTGTCGACATTTTCACGCACAAAAGCTTTCAATTGCTGAAGAGCATGCCAGCCTCACACTTTTCAGCATTCATTCATCTCGTCTTCGTGCCTCGGCTCGGTTTTACGATGAAAACGGACGAACACAATAATCGGCAGTGAGTTCGTTTACAAGTGCGAAAATAAAAACAAACGGAAGAAGTAAACAAAAACAAAACATTTTACATTTTACAATACACAAATTCCAATGGTGTCACAAACACCAGTAAAAACACAATTCAAACATACACACTCGCACACACACACACACACACACACACACAGACACAAAAGTAATGTTGCAGCACAAGTTCGAGCTTAAACACAAATACGCGAAGAAGAAGAGAAAATCGTAATTGTAAGTTTGCTTCTTGCTATGTTATTCGTACAGTCGAATCGTGCGAATCGTGCTGAAATGTGAATGTGCGCGCTTTTCTGAGACTGGAATTGGAAGTTCAAATATAAAAACAAAAATCACTGTGAGCACAAATACAAAACTGCGCTGTACTTCATTCTACTGTTGAGTGTCGTCGCAGCAGGATTGTGTCCTCTCGTCGTTCAGCTCGAAAAAAGTGAATTTTTTCAAAATAACAAAATAAAAAGACAGAGCAAAAAAAAACACTAAGACTTTTTAAAGGTACTTTAACGGTTTGGAATGAACTATAAAAAAAATAAAAGTAAAAGAAGCTAATAACTAAAAAATAAAATCCTTACTTAAGAGGATTGTTTTAGGATGCGGAATTAAGTGCCGAATTTCTTTATCGCAAACATCAAAAAGTTTGCAGTTGTGCATTTGCGAATATTTGCAATTTTTTGGTGTATACACACACTTTTGTGTGCCGGGAAAAACGGGCGTGTGAGTGTGTGTCATTGTTGTTGTATGCTCTGCCGAAAATTTGAGTACATATATTATTTAATAAACACCTACGCTGACCTAGCAGCATATCTACTATTACAGCAGCACTTCTTTAAAGGATAATGTGTACCATAATTTTTTTCCGTTTCGTTTTTTGTTTTTTATTAAATAAATTTTTGTGAATTTAAAATTAAAAAATATTTACAAAAATGGAAAAATTCAATTAATACAAAAAAATAAATTTAAAATAAATTTAAAATAAATAAGATAAATACACAAACAAACGCTGCTCCACAAAACAACGAAATAACGAAATAAACTATCGCTTTCGTTGTTAAGCTCAGAAAACAATAACAATTTATGGTATAAGTGTGCGTACAGTGCGTAGCATCACTGAACATTTACATATGTGTGTATGTGTGTTTAAGTGTTCATTTATTGTATGGGCTTTTTTGTGTAAAATTGTCGTATATTTGCCTTTAGCGAGTGGAAAGGGGTGTGTGTCTGCACTATTTTGTGGCATTTGATGGCGTTGTTGGCACACAAAGCAAGTGTCGTACTCAGCTCGCTGGTTTATGGCATGAGGGTTGGAATCCATTAAGTACGCGTACATCACGCGTACATCTCCTTCCAGTTTTTGTTTTTGTTTTTTTTGTTTTTGGCGCTACAACGCATTATTGTGCCGCAACTGAAAATCAACTACAAATTCCCTGCAATCGCAGTAAAGCGTAGATAAATGCGTTGTTGCGCATTTAAGATGCGAAAAATTGTCTAAAAACAATTGGTTTGTTGGTTTGTTGGTTGTTGTTGTTGAAGACTTCTGTCTAGAGGATGTTCATAGCATCAAGTACCCCTTAAATCCTTCATTGCGCATTATGATAAGGCTTTAAGACAAGTAAAGCATGACGACGTAGTCAATAAAAATAAATATGGAAAACATAAAATAAATGTGTAGTAATTTTTTATATTTTATTACATACCATTTATTATATCGTTCACCTATATATTAGATATCACTAGGATATTAGGAAATATATAGATATATATATTATATCTTTTAACTCCTTGGAGGAGCATAGGCCCGCAACAAATATCTTTCACTCGGTACGATTGGTGGCTAGTAGCTTCAACTCTTCCCAGCTTTTCAGCATGTGTGACATTTCCATGTCCATGCTATTCATAGGATTCCACTCAATCGCCATTCTTCTGCTATCACCAGTCGGTCTATGCAAAGTGTGACCGACCTAGTTCCATTTGCAGTTTTTGATTTCGGTTCTTATGGGTCTTTGTTTAGTTAAAGACCATAAATGTTCATTTGGAATTGGATTTGGCCAAAATACTCTAACAATTTTGCGTAATGACTGATTTACGAAAACTTGTTGTTGCATTGATGCCGTTTGTCGTAGCATTCTAAGATTGACATTTACATAGAAGGCAAGATTTTATGTTGGAGTTAAATATTCGTATTTTTGTTCGGCGCGATAACTGAGATGATCTCCCTAGGTAATAGTAGGGTCTTAATATCGTCCACTTATTTATTAGATCTCTATACAATACTGAGTAATAATGTCGTGAAAACCAAGTGTAATACTAATTATTACTTCTCATGTTAAACAAAATATACTAAATAACCAATTTGATGGTTTAAACGGTGAGAAAAATTTTTAATACAAACCTAATTAACTAGATGGTTTTAGATAATCCTTACGTTGAATGCTAACAACAGAAAATAAATTAAAAATGCAGTGAGATTAGTTTTTTAGTCACTAACTCCATTAAAAAGAACGAAAAATAAAATATAAAAACTCTCTGTAGTTTGAATTTGGAACACTTAAAATTCACGTTTTTAAAGAGTGGACTCACTAGCGTTGCATCACTATTCTTTGTTAAGTTCAACAGTATTAGAAGAAAATATATTGTGTTTTCAGTATGTCTTGCCTATTATTAGTTTTATAATATGTTCTGTCTTCACTACGGCTTGCCTATTAATAGTTTCATAATCCCTGTTCAGTTCCACAGTATTTGAGGAAGCTATGTCTTGCCTATTATTAGTTTTAAAATTCTTGTCAAGTTCTATAATATTGGATGCAAATATTTTCTGTCTTCAGTATGTGTTGCCTATTAATAGTTTCATAATCCCTGTTCAGTTCCGCAGTATTTGAGGAAGATATCTTGTGCAAACAGTCTGTTTTACCTATAATTACTGTTATAATTTCTGTTAAGTTCCATAATATTGGAAAAAAATGTTATGTTTTCTCAGTCTGTATAACCAATTATTATTAAGATAATCCTTTTAAACTCATTTGGCTCAAAATAAACTGTAGTCCTAAAGATATTCAGATGCTGCAGCGATGTTTAATAAAACAGTGAATGATATTTGTATAAATGAGACCATATAATATAAATAAAAAATACGCATTATACTAAACGCACTTGTACTTAACTACCTGATTTATTAAAAAATCACTAAAAATGCTTAATACTTTATTATAAAATATAAGTGTTTATATTTTCTTAGCATTCCCAATGTGAAATAAACTGCGATTGTTATCCAAACATCTAAAACGATTATAAAATAACACTTACAAAAATTAAAATAAAACACTCACTCCATAAAACGGTTTAAAAGATAAAACAACATATATATATACGTTAATCATGGATAGTTCACCTGATCTATCTTTAAAATTGCGTCGCGGTTCCAGCGATTCGCGTGATACATTTTATATGGATTTTGCTCAAGGCATTGATTCGGATATTGAAGAAGTTGATAATAGTGCAATAGCGCGTGAACCACAACAACCACCTACTCCACCACTACCAATACCACAAGATATTTTGGATGCTGAAATTGCTGCTATGGCTCAAATGATACCACCACCTCCACAAACAACATCCGCTATGACCATGCAACCAACACATTTGCCTACTTTAAGTGAGCATGATGACTTGCCACCAACACCACCACCACAACTATCAAGTACAGCTATGTCTTCACCGCCAGCATCTCCAACAAATTCTGTTTTGGAGATGATACCACCACCACCTATGTCGCCACCTATAGCTGCACCAATGCGTTTTGCATCTTCGCCACCTATCGAAACAGAAGATGAAGGTGATGATGGCGATGCTGATGAACCGGATGACGCAGATGAAGAAGATAATGATGATGATGACGAGTATAAATCAACTCCTCCACCACCTTTACCACCACTACCCTCAAATTTGTCTTACATACACGGTAGTGGTGGACCACATGTTTCACCTATAGCCAGTACAGCACCTCTTTCACCATCGATCACAAAATCACCTTCAACTTCGCCATCACCACCAATTACGCCACCTGTTTTAACAAAATTTACCTCACCACCAGTTGCTTATGTACCACCAACACATGTGCCAACAACATCACCTTCAGAAAGTGATCAATCGCAACCAAACTCTCCACCACCATTACCACCACATCATGACACACCGCCGCAACCAATTTCACCGAAAAGCATAAGCGCTGAATTGAGTGCACCAAGCCCACCACCACTTTATGATGAAACTAATGAAATGATTGCTGCTGTATTGGCAGCTGCGGTAGAGGCAACAGCAGATTTTGTGCCACCTGCCCCTTATCAAATGCCTGACGAAAATAAATCTTTAAATGATGATGAATCAACTACTATCACAACACCACCCAGCAATGGTTATTCAGGTTCTTCTATACTTGCACCAACCAGTGAGCATTTAGGTGAATTAGAAAAAGATGCTGGACTTGTTTTAGCTGATATACCACCACCGCCAGGCTTAGAAGATGAGCCTAAAATGGATGAAGAAGCTTCTGGAGAAAAAACACCAATTTCAGAGCAGCAACCAGATGATGTTGTGACAGAAGATCAAATCACGCGTGACATACCTATTGATGAGGAGGCCGAAGAACCAGGCACACCTACACAACAAACAACATCAATTGCTTCAGGCTCACTTAAACGTAGCGGCAGCATTGGTGGTGCAACTAGTCATGCAGCTAGTCGCAGCGTCAGTCGCAGCGGTAGTCGCAGTGGTAGCCGCAAATCAAGTCGCAGTGGCAGTGTACGCGGGAGTATCGGTTCACGTGCTGGTAGTATTGCAGCCGGTTCAGTAGCCTCAGCAGCAGCATCTATTGCTTCAGGTGTGCAACAAGGCGTTGTGACATCGCCACAAGCTTCGATAAAATCATTACGTAGCCAACAATCAATCAAATCACAACATTCAAAACATAGCATTCCACCAAATGTCAGGAGTCCACCTCTATCTGCACGTATGCAAAGTCCACCGGAAGGAGACGGTGCACCAATAATGCCCACACCACCAATGATGCGTAGCCCACCCCCAGTCAAAAGTCCACCGGTTATGCATAGCCCACCAATAGTCACCAGCCCACCTAGGGTTTATAGTCCACCATTGGTCAGCAGTCCGCCAATGCGTAAATCCATTATCGAAACAACGGAGACTGATAAAGCTGGAATGCCAGAAAAAAGGTAATTTTTTATATTAAAATTATTTTAAAATAAAATTGCACAGTAGTTGGTGTAGGTGTGCACTAAAGAATTGGAATAATATCCACGTATCCAGCACAGTTGTGTAAAAGCCACTTTTGTTCGTAGTTGAAATATGTAAGTATATTGAACTTAAGAGTTCTCCTGTACGCGCCTTCTGTACGAGTATCTGATGTGACCAACGGTTACATGCTGTGCATTAAGCCTGCTAATAATAAGTTGAGCCTACATCATTTCTGTGGGCCCACAATGTTATAATAAGTTTCAATCAATAACGTCACCGTTGAAATGTGACGTGACGAGTCATTGTACTCTAGCTGCTTTGCTTTTTATTTTTTACTCAATCTTTTTTTTTCCTATTTTGTTTAACGTTTCAACACGAGGCTCATTATTTATTAATAGGTATTTGCTGACGGAAAGGACTATTCAACTCACAACGCATCCACGTTGCACAGATTTCGATTTGCAAGTGATTATGAGTGCAGGTTGCGCTCGCTGTAGGGTTGTACGGTTATGAGTGCAGGCACCGCATTTGGCGGGGCATTAGGTTAG